ATGGGCGCCGACCACCCACTCACGCCCTCCCCGGACTTACTTGCGCCTTGCGCGGCGCGCGGCATGAGCGCCGACCGCCCACTCGCGCCCTCCTCGGACATCCTTGCTACTTCCCTGCGATGTTCATCTCAAGCAAGATGGGTGGCCGCTCTGGAGTGCCTCTTGGCGATAGACTGGGAAGAGTGGGGGTGCATGTTCAAATTTGAACATTGCGTCTGTGGGGAGTGGTGCTGTACGTATGATAGGGGAGCCGGTTAAGGGGAATTGGCTGTAGTGAACGAACGGGGACGGCTTTGGGATTGGTTCATAGTTTTGGGGATTGCGGCGGGAATAGGAGCTGAGGAAGTGCAGGAGTGAGGGAAAGTGGGAGTGGGTAGTGTACGCGGGTAGCTGCTGGGCTAGTTGGCAATGGATCGTAGTTGGTCTGGGCGGCGGGAATAGAAACTTGGCATGAGAAAAGGACACGAACCCAGCCAGCTCGCAAAAGTGGCCAGAGTGGGTATTTTGGAGACAGCAGCTCATGAACCGTCACACAATCGCACTATAAATACCACTCGCTTCAGTTGTAATGATGGGTTCAGATCATGAGTGATAGACTTGTCTTCCCCCGCGTGACCATCGCGAACGCCTCCCGTACCCACGGGGTCGCCGCAGCCCAAAGGCTCATTGCGCACTTGAGCCGCCCAAAGGCCGACACGTCCGCGGCGGGGCCATGTTCAAATTTGAAAATTGCGTCCGCGGCGATTGACCCAACGGGTTGATCGCCGTGGTGGTTCACTTCAAAGAGGCATGGCAGCGTTGCAACGCTTTAGGTTACCTCCTTGGCCGCCGATTGGAAGGGAGTGGCATTGGGTGATGTTGGTATAGATGGGGTGGGGGCACAGGGAAAGGTCAAATTCTGTTTGCGGCGATCGACACAATATGATGAATATTTCTTTTTGTGACGGTGGATTGTTCTTTTTTGCGATAGTGCCAAACTACTCTTTCTTGCGACAGCAGACTGTTCGTTTTTGCGACAGTGGCCATGGCTAAAGTGTGACTCAGCTAGCCAAGCGCCACGCATCAGCCGACGGCCAACACTGACCTTTGCGTTGGGCAACCCGTCTGCCACACGGGGACTCTTTTCCCATGTCAAGACACCTTTTCCATGCTGGTTCGTGGGCCACGTCTGCGGCGGCCCTAGGCACGTGTGGGTGCCGGCTAAGTGGATGCCGGCCCCTGTGTGGCCACTGACACACGCCAAGACACGCATGGGTGGTTGGCCAGCCCACCAACGTGGGAGGCCTAGCCCAAAGCTTGGGCACAAAAGATGCCGCAAAATGGCGGAAGTGGAAGGCCGAAAGTTGCCTCCAACTCACTGGTAAAAAATCAGCCAAATTACATCGCTATCACTGTGATGGCATCATTTTATGTCAAAATGGCATCACAGTTGGCATCACTAACACGGTATTTTCTACTAGTGTAATGATCCTCGCAGTCACCGATTGGTGCCACCCGCGGGCGCCCCTGATCGGCACCCGGAGTGGCATCAATCGGCGCCCTCAAGGGGCGACTGCGATCTACGAACTACGGCCTGTGTTGCACCCAACGCTTGGGCACAGAACACGCCACAAAACGGCAAGAGTGGGAGGCCGAATGTCGCCTCCCACACGCAAGTGCCATCATTCGCCGCCCGCAAGGAGCCAAAGTGGGCAACTCGCTTTGTATCGGCTTCCGCCTCGTCGGCCTATCACAGGTTGTGAGGCTATCGGCTCGTGTCCCGAGTCAGGGCTCTTCATTGATCACGCAAGAGGGCCTCCTAGTGCCCCTTCTGCGTTTTGCGAAGTCTACCACACAGCGCAGCGCCCCTAGTGGAAAAGCAATCCGGCTTGGAGCTTTCGAGATGTCTACAGAACGCTTGACCCAAAACCGAGCAGCGGCGTCGCGGATTCTCTGCCTTTCGCGAAGAAATCTATCAGCACAGCAGCGAGAGGTGGGCTTTGAAATCCGTGTTGGAGGCGTCCTGTCAATTGATGCAGATTGCGTGCAGTAGCTCGTCGGTGCCAGTTCAGCAGTGCAGCCTGGAAAGAGGGCGCGGCACCTTCCTGGCACCGTGCGACGCCGTCTCTCAGGAAGGCAAGCCGGCCGCCGAGCGACCAAGGCGAAAACGCCTCTGACCCAATCGAATCATCCGCAAACCCAAAGCTCGATGCCACCACCTTTGTTGACCGCGCATGGGGTGGCCTTGGGGCCCACGAGAGGCAAGTTGGTTTGGATTATTCGGGACGCGTCTTGCCACTGTAAAGTGTGCTGCGCAGGGTCGCCCGCGTGTTCTTGTCCCCCGGGGTCGCTTCAAGCAGCTGCCACAAGTCGAAGGGCTTCCGTACGCAACCCGCGACGCTGGCCGCATCTGGAGCAGCCGGGTATGCTCGTGGGCGTCTGTTGACCGGCGCGAGAACTGGGTCAACTGCGGGATCCATGATTTGGCGAGTCCCTGTTTGGCGGTTGACTCCTTCGTGTGACGCCTCGCAGCGACGTAAGAGACGATTGAATTCTGCTCAGTTGCGGCTACACTGCATTCTACTTTGCTTTCTTCAGGTTTTGTAATGTGGTGCACATAGGGCAAGACTGGCAGACGGCGATCATGGGCAGCAATCGAAAACAGGGTCGAAAGGAGAAAATGGAAAGGGAGTAAGAGGAGTGGAGAATGTCTTCAAAGTGGGATTCTGGGATGGACGCATTGGAACATTCACTTCATTCAGAGGGCCGTATTCTTAGTTGACCAATAATGTGACTGTGTGCGACCAATTGTATTGGCCTACCAATGAAGACGCAGTTTCACGGAGTGGAAGGGGCAATTTCTTGTGTTGGGCAGAAATGCAGCACATTGCCATTCTGGTAGAGAGACATTGACTAAAAATTGGCAATTTTTATCAAATATGAGCTTGGCTGTGCTTGGTGAATATGCGGAACAGCTGTGGTGCTGCATCGCCAAAGCTGAATTTAAGGGGCAGGGATTAACAGCTGCAGAGGCTGCCACACCAGTGCAATATATGCCACCTCGGTGTATTGCATTGAGGTAATTGCCACACTAAGCACAGGTAAAAGAGATTTGTGGGCTCCTTTGTGACTTGCAGGTTGCAGCTGTAACTTTGGATCTGCTCATTGGCTCCCTGATTGGTTCTGCATGGCTTGGTGCACAGGATGCTGCATGCAACCTCACATGCAATCAGGAGAAAATGGTTGTCGTCAAGGAGCTGCTGGATAGACTTCTTTCGGGAGAGTCAGAAGAATTTGCCAGCCATGGTAGCCGGGATTTCATAGCCGTGTTGGAGAGGCTGCTGGCTGTCCATTCACAGACCTTCGGTGTCAAGAACTTCCGCTTTCAGAGGGAAGTGCTGGTTACAATCATAACTTTGGCTATGTTGGAAGCACCGTTTCTGTTAACAGATCTGCACCAAGTGCGGTTCTTCCCGTCAGGTGGCGATCCCCTGTGCATTGTTCTTCAGCACACATTTAGGCCAATGCCACTGATATTGGCCCACTACCCGAAGAATATGCCGCCATCGTTCGTCCGCTTGAAGGCGAAATGCAGGCCTGGACAATCATTGACGATGGTGAGGTGGCACTGGGTGACATGAAACGTAAAGATATTTGGATCTTCGTGATGTGTTGTACAAAGCCTTGTGGGATGATGAAGTGGTGGGCAGCCTCCCTGCAGGCTTCCCAATGACTGCCCACCCATGTCGAAGGGCATCATGAAGAGATGTTGCTCAGTCAAAGCCGGCAATCGTTCTGTCATCCGGGCTGTGAAGATGATTTTAACTGGGCTGTGGCACAACCACGTCCTTGCTCTGGCTTATAGATTTCGTGGAAAGGTGGCGCTTAGGGAAGCCCGGCACAGCCGCGTCTTTGCCCACACTGGCCAAGAGCTGTTGTGAGAATTTCATGAGGAGGTGGTGCCCAGGGACGCCATGCAGTTGCCCTGTTAGGCGAGCAGTAAAAGAAATCGTAAATCACGAGGCGCCCAGTCGCGTCCTCCTTGGAGATGGGCATGTTCTGTGGTATTCGGCCTTCCCTAAGGAGCACCGAGGCATGCGAGAAGCGCAGATCGTATTTGCGAAACGGCATCGTCCTGAAGGGAGTTCTGTAGAATTTTGTGCGGGACAGCAATTTTTTTTGTACAGCACTTTTCCCCACACCGGTGTTGAGGTGTGCATCTGCCTTAATCTCTGAATCCAGTTGGCAAAGGAGTTTCTTGGGTTTTACTGCATACGGAATGAGGATTTTTGAATGAATGGATACAGTTTCAATTTCAATACAATTTACAAACTTCCGTTGCAGCTCTGTAGCGCAGACAAATCGCTGATGGTCGAAGTTGATGCTATCTGGTTGTATGCTAGTGAATGCTGCTCATGTTTCCCAAGAGCACGAGCGAATCGGCAAAGCAGGGGACAAACCTATGCAAGTCCAAGAGGCGATACTGACAATTTGGGGCCAGTGTAAAGGAACAATGCCAAAAGTCCACTACCCTTAGTGAGACCCTACTATGGGGCACGCAGACACTGGGCATGGGCGCTCATCACTCATGCCAAGAACGCATTCGCTACACAGGATGAATCAGCCCTGTGACGAAGTAGTGACGACACAATTCCAAAGAATGCGCTGCTGCACAAATCGACTTGTGTGCATGGGGAAATATGCATGAAAAGCAGCAGGGGCCGTCTACTGCTGCATCCCCCCACCGTCCTTATGATAGATCGATCACGAGCACAGGGCAAGAGCCGACCCTCTGCCAGTGTGACCCTCCTTCATTCCTGGAGGCCAGCCACCCAGCGACTCATTCTGTGCGCCCTCCTTGCACTCCAACGCCCATTGTACAACCCACCGTATGCGTTCCTCTCTATCATGCAAATTCACATGGCATGGCCACAACCCGCCCAGCCTCATCGCCTGAACCTTGCCACCACAAGATGGGCACTAGCCAGCTGCCTGGTGCTATTTAGCACTGGGGGAAAGAGTCATTGTTCGCCTTGCACAAGTACTGCCCAAGTAGGACATTGGCATGAACAGTGCATATCACCATATGCTTCTAAAACAATCCTATCCTGCACCAGCAGTGGATTTTGTGTGAAGGCTCTGTGCATCACTACCCAGCTCCTCATCCATGAGCTTATAACTGGCAGATCGAAGTGAAGGATCTTGTCCAAGGAAGGCGAGTGGGTGCTGCTCATTCCCCCATACATCTGCACATCCGGTCTGTTGTTATTGCAATATGTTGTGATGGGCCCTTGCTGTGTTGTAGTCCCACAGCCACCCTCAGCCAGTGCGCTGGGCTCCATGCCCCTTTCCAGGTGCTGCTCCTTGCCCACTGCACTGGATCGCAGAATGCCAGGTCCATCGCCACCAGGCCCCGCTCTTTGTTACAGCCAACAGGCCAGTAAAATGCTGGGGTACTGCGGGGGCATCCAGATGCATAGTGGACTGCACTGTGGCTCCTTGAACGCAGGTGGGCCTTTCCTTCATGAGCAGCATGAAGGGTTTGCTCATACTATGTCTCAGTTGTTTCTTCGCGTTGTGTCTCCAGTCGGAGCTTGTCAAGTGTTCATCGCACAATGCTGATACTGTAGGATGGCTGGTGGCTTGGGGCATCAACACCTTGCCATCAGAATTGCACATCGGATCGGTGTTCCACAAGGTATTGAATACCTGGCCTGTGCACTCATATATTTTACAATAACAGGGTGGTACCATGGGAACGAATTGCACCATGCACAGGAAGTGGCAAGGGCAAACAATACCCCACGGGCAAGGACGCACTGGGCGAGACTGCTGCTTAAGTTCTAGGGCAATGTATAGCATAAGGCACTGGGCAAATGTGTCAATGCCTGCATTGCTCAAGCACTTGACAACGGCACATTTGCGTAAATGGTTGTTGCTGGGAATTCTTCAAGTGTCACTGTATGGTGCCATCCGATGGTGCGACATGCTGCTGTCCCCATGTACTGATCAATACATTGACCTTGCATGAACGATCTGACCAAGCAGAACACAAGACCAGAGAGGAATCGCTGGCCTCTGTTATTTCTTTCTGATGCAGATCCCTAAAGGGAAGTGCTTGACACAGTGCATGGCTGGATTGGAGTATTCCAGAACAAACAGGAAACATGGATGGCAACAGTATGCTGCACTGGAGTGCTGTTTCACTGGAGAACCACAGACTCACCTATCACACCCATCCAGCAACAGCATGTTAAACCTGGCCTTCGGCTTTGTCGACCTGCCGTGGGTAACCAGAAACCCAATGTCAGATCGACCGCGTTTCCCTCTGTAAAAATATCTGTAGAGTCATCCAAACAGCAACACTGTACACATGTACTGCATGCTTTTTGACAACACGTGTAATATCAGCACACCCTGCAGTAATGGGTGTTGCACTTCAGGCAGTCCCCTCCCTACCAGGAACAACTATGTGGTGAAACTCAGGAACCTGTGCTGCATCGCGACTATTAGCAGTACTCATCCCTCATGCTCACCCATTGATGGGTTTGCCCAACGGCCATCCAGGCACATAAGTCTCCAAACTGACAAGGGCCACAATCACCTTGAGCTTTGACAGAAAGTGGACTCCGGACTAAGGGAGTGGGTAGGGGTGTGTAGTTGGCTCACTACAGCAGCAATTGACAACATTCTTATTGTCCTTGTGCGCTGGGTCAGAGTGAACTAAACTGTGCCGGGCGCTCTGGTGTTGCCTTGCCACGTGGGGAGCCGTCCATCCGGGTCCTGGCGATGAGGGACCTCTCACTTTCACGCTTTCGATAAGATGCCCAGGCGTTGGTACCCACGGCTTTTGGCAGCTCAGGCCTCCATGCTGCCCTGGCGTGTCTAGCCGGCGAACTCGAGCCCCGTCAAAACCTAAGGGTGGACATGCGAGGGCGCGACGCAACGCCTGCCGTTCTGAGCGTCCTGACCGGCAGCGATGGGTCCACATCATGGGCCCTGGGGACTCTCCAATCACTCACCTGGCCGCCGTGGCCTCGAGCGGGAGTGTCAGCGCCCCGCCGACCCAATCTCTGGCATCGGCTGAAGCTGTCCTCGAAAGATATCGCCTGGCATCTCCAGAGCAGTTCCCCTTCTCCCGCAATCGCCCTCCAGCCGCTCCGTCCCCGCACTCAATGGCGCCATCGGCCGGCGGCAGTCGCGTCGACCCGTGCGCTGAGCAGACGCATTAACCCAGTCGCGTTGACCCTTGCGTCGTCCCGTGTTGCCCGACGATGACCCCAGGGGCAGTCAGCGGCCGAGCGACGGCGGGGACGGCAGTCACCCACGCCACACCGCAGGGCTCCCAACGGCCACCGAAACCATACCAGGGGTGTCCCTGTTTGAAAGGCAGCGAACACACGGCCTTGGACATCGTCCAAACGCGGCTCCACCGCACCGCGCACAAGACAGCGGTGGGGGAATGAGGGGTTCGCAAATTCCCCGTTCGCAAATTTCTTTTGCCCATTTCCGCCACAATTAGGCGGACCTTACCCTCCTTCGAGGCGGCTTCTGCCAATCTGGCACCATTTACCACGGATTAATGGTGGGTCATGGGTCAGCGAGGGCGCGCGGTCGCCCCCGCGGGAGTCGGCAGTGAGCCAGGAACAATAATTACAGTCGGACACTTCGCCCCCTGCATCCAAATACCGTCCGACCGTCACACCTCCAAGTGTGCTAGTACATAAAGACACGAACACAATGCACTATACAAAACGGGCCTCCGGTCACCACCAAAACAGCTCCACAACTCCCCGTACTCGGCCCCCATTATCCAGGCTGCAGTACAATGCTCTGCACCTTCAAGTCACCCATACATCCACATATTTAGACAACAAAGGCCAAGAGGTAAAATAAACCATTATACTATAAATATGGAGCTGTACACCATTATTTAAAGATAATGAGAGAAAGAATTGGTCCATTGCGCCTACCCCAAGTGTTTCCACTACACATGTGTTCGGGTGCCATGATGTTACAAACAGCTGACAAACACCGCCAGGAGGGTGTCTACGCTTTGGAACAGCAAAATGACTCACCGATCAGCCATATGCGCTCAATGGGAGTCACCAAAAGCACAGCCACTATCACAGCCCTGTCAATCGCCCAGAATTTCTGAGCATTCCGCTCCTACACTTTTTACCAACTTAGCTCATAAACACTCACAGGACAACGAGAATCACCACAGCAAGTAAATTCAAGCCTAGCAGGACAATTGGGGTATTGTCGAGCGCTGCCGAAGCGAGGCGCAACCCCAGAGCTGAACTTCGTGTTCAAGTTCACCTTAACCGTTCACATACAACGAGAAACATGCAACTGCTGACCAGCTCGACGAGAGGCACGAAAATACACGCTCAAACTGCGAAACGATGCTCCACACCTCGCTCAGTAGCTCAGTATGACGAGCGTACTGACCATTCTCCAGATGTCTCAAACCGATGTCGTCGATGCTCGTTCCCTGCGGTCCAGCGCTGCACTCCACTCACTCGCCAAGCAGCGGACGATGAAGACGGGTCGTTGAGTCGACGAAGTCAGCGCCCAACGTGGGCGCACGCGGGTCAGCTGGTCAACGAGGCAGGAAACGAGCTCGGCGACGAGCTGTGGATATGTGCAGCGGTGCACAACCCAAAGGCAATCGATCCGGAGGGTCAAGAGACAAAGACACACGGAAACGAAAGTGTTCGTTACAAGGCGGCTCCCCTTCGACCACGTTCGACCTCAACAACTCACAGCACGACCGTTTTCAACTGAGCACCCGCCGTTCAGACCGCTAGAACCAAAAACGGACGGGTGGGGGGCGGAGAGAGAGGGGGGGAGGCACTCACAACCCAACCTCCGCCACCTAAATACCCCCGCCAGCTCCAAGGGCACTACTCTTCAGTGACCCTTGGATAAACAAACAGACACATCAAGAAAAAGGCCACAATACCTCTCAGAACTTCCCATTGACCTTCTCCACTTTGACCCCTTCCAAAGGGTCACACAATACAATTCAAAAAGTCACTTTGGAGCATTACAACACTACTCAACACCCGTCAGCGCCCCCTGGCAGTACTCCCATGAAAATGTACTGCTGTACATCCTCTTCCCACTCACGCTGCGATGAACTAAGTGCTGTAGGTTCCTGAAAAGTCAAATTAGGGGGAATCCCCCTATCCAAACAAAAAATACACCTAATGCATTTTTCATCCCATGTACACCCATCACACCCCACAGTCCCGTAGTGGGTATTGTCCCCCGGCTGCCTAACCCATTCTACCTCCCTTTCCCCCATGTACGACATGCGTGCCCTCAATTGAATTCCCTGCATCATCCAGCCTCCTTCCGGGCCTGGCAGCTCCACCTCCCATTCAGCTGTTACGTAAGCTTTCCAACGCGACGCGGCGACCACCCTCCAGTACGCCCGGGTGGCGCGCTCCACCATCCCCACCGGCAGCCCCCCGTCTCCCTCGGCGAGGCCGCCCACGCACCCTTCTCCGGCCCACGCGAACGGCGCGGGCGGGCTGTCCGGGCCGTCGCGCTCGGCGGCCATCCAAGCATCTCGCTCGGAGGTGCTCCAAACTCCTTTGCCTCGCCAATTCGCGGCGAATACACTCCGCCGAAGTCGATCGCCCAACCGGACGTTGGGGATCGCCGCAATCCAGTAGGCGTGAACGGCAAACAGTTGGCCGTTCAGGTGTCTTACTCGCCACCGAGTTGTGGCATCAAAAGCGGAATGGATCCAAAAGAGGGGCGTTCCTGAGCCGGAGGCCATGGCCCATGCCTCCGCCCCACCGAGCCCATTGCGGCACGCGAGCACCACTTTGCCCGCTTCGTCCGGGCCGACCAAAGGCTCGCCCGGGCCCCTTCGTCCCTGCGTGCACGGATCCACAAATATCCCCGGAGGGAGAGAAAGCACCGCTCCGCCATGGAGCATGGCGGAACCGGAGGGTCCGCCCACACCGAATGCGAGCACGTTCGACCCGCCTGCGGAACGTGGGGATGCTTTGGCCATGGCGAGGGAGGGCTTCCGACGGTCCCTGCACGGTCGGGGAGGCTGGGGTGTTGCGGCGCGCCGAGCAGACCGGGCAGAGCGGGCGTAGGCGGGGCGCAGGCGCAACCCGCGGGGACCAGATGCAGGGGGGCGCGGTCACGTCCGACATACGGTACATTACACGAAATATCAAAAGGGCGGTCTCCCGTACAGGTGCAAAACCACAAAGTACTGTTAGCAGCCGCACCCAACGTCCCATCACGCCTCACTGGACCCCTATACCCTGCCAGTACCTGTCCCATCAAGGTCCTAGGACCTTTTGCAAAAGTT